CTATTTATAAGATTTCATAGTAGACCTACATAAGGAGATCTTGGACAAACTAGAAAATCCTGAAGTAATTCGTTCTCATGAACTATTTTAGCCAAGTTTCAGATCATTTCATTCAATATCTGCGACAACTCTAGATACAATTTGAAAGCTCAGTATATCAACAGAAAAAAAAAAATTATTTTCAGCTAACACTCTTACGATATTCTACGAGTTCTATGTATGAGCAAAGTTTCATGTTGAAAGTATGCTGTTTGATTGTTTGAAAAATTTAGTAAAACAATCATGAATCGACTTCAATGAATCGTTATATTCTCTTTATTGTAAATAAGAACTTAAATCTAAATTTATTTGAATATATATCCCTTTTTCTAGATTTATCATCGTTTATTTGATTATACTTGCTGAGTAATCGATGATAGTCATAACATTATATGTGAATATTGTCAAACAGGGAATAGTCTTGATTCGGATATTATGACAATAACAACAGCTCATGTCATACATGATGAAAAAACATCAAATACAGTTGGTTACACTGAAAGAATAACGCATATAGAGGACATTAACTTGATATTCTATTCATATCAAATGAATCATCAAACGAAGATAAAACAGTAGAGAAATGGATGTTTATATAACAAATAATATGAGTGAACATACCAAAGATTATAATCATTATATTCAAATCAAGTATACATATACATGTTATATGTATCCAGGATCGGTCTATGAATATTATTTGATTTTTACAGACATTTCATATCATTTGAATACATATTATGCTATTTCGAATAGTATAGTAGATGAGACACTAACAGATATGTTCAAATAGAATGATCAAACAATGTTAATCCTTTTAATTTTTATCAAAGTAAACATAATAAAAAAAAATTATTATTGTTGATATTTGTGCTTCTGATGATCGAAAAATTATAAATGAACTTTATTTGAATAAATTATGTCAAAATATAAAATATAAGAAGACCAAAAAGAAGTCATCGTTGTAGTTTTGTACATAGTCTTCTGACAGTTCCATTTGAATTTCCATGCATTAGTCCAAGATTTATTACGAAACTATATAGTAGCTTTATGGAATGAAGTGTACACGTCACAGAGTCAACTCATTTTTCAAACATCTATAGATGGTATTATATTTACGACTAGGCATACCTGAAAGACTATTCTAAATCATATTTGCCTGTTTTTTTTCTCTCTTTTATATTAGTGTAAAAATAAACTTCCAAAAGAACGTTTAGTTAATTCATGGATTAAGATATTTTTAACATTCTATTAAGTTCATTGTTCCAAAATACAGAAAATCATATTGCCAATTGATTTACTCGTAGATTTGAAACAACGTATTAGATTACTTTTACTCTTGTGTTGTATAAATGTATCAATACGCGCTTATGGGAATGGGTTCTTGCCCATTTCATAATAATTTATTGTATAATCTGTTTTTTTTAATATGATCATATATGGAACGATAGAATTAATTGTTAAAAAAAAATTATTTGATCTTCTACAGTTTTATCGACAGATTTTTGTAATTTAAAGCAATTATATTTCTTCTTTTCAATGTAATATTTAATGCTTCAACATCGAATCATCTGAGTATGGATACAGTCGTGAGACTAGGATATGTAAGTAAAGCTTTTTCATTAAACTCACCAGCGTCTAATAGCTAACACCTATTCTAAAGTTTAATTCATTTCTAAACTTTGAGATAATAGATAACACGGAGTACCTATTGAAAAGCATGATTTAAGACTCGATCAAAGTAAATTTAATATAAATTATCATAGTTAAGAGCTCAAAAATTGAAGATAGTAATCTATGTATGTCTCTATTGGGGAAACATTGAAAAACAGATTATAGTAATATATGAGATAAATTGATAAGAAATAGCGCTTAAATAAACGGTAAAGGTATTGAGAGGATCTTGTATAACGAATTTTTGAAAAAAGTATATATTTAAATATGATGTAAAACTAATGCTCATTCTTCTTCAGCGGCTTGTCCAAGCGTGACGGAATCACGTTTTTTCCTCGTGTCTTTGTAATATCTCAACGAAATGAAATAGGGTAAGGCTTAAAATATTCACAGGCTATGTAAGTTGAGTTCCTCTACGCATGCTGAAAGTTTCATAGGATTTCAAGTTTTAGTGTTTGTTTTATGACTGGCACATAGGTACGTTACGGAATCCCATAAAATGGACTTTGATTTTGAGTGCTGTTCAAAGAGTAAAAAAATTTAGCTCAACTATAAATGTAGTGGCAAAACTCTCTCTACAAGAGTTGTAGCTAAGATGCCTAGCTATATAAAAAAACAAAAAAAAATTGCAAAATATGCATTGCTGATTTTCTGGGCAGAAAAAGGTGTCGTGACGGAATCACATTTTTCGTGACGGAATCACGTTTGAGAAATGATCATGTTTTCTATCTTTCTTTTTCTTTAAAAATTTAAAGATAGTTTCTTAGAATAAACAATCTGTTGTCATACGTTTAAAATCAATGAAGAAAAATTTTCGGTCACGATTGTTATAGCATAAAAATCCTTTTTTTTGAAAACGTCAAAACATGTTAGATGTAGCCATCTAACGAGGGAACGCTTTCAACTGTCAAATCGCTTTGAGTCCGGATTCTATGCATAAAATAGACTCTAATGAGATATGAAAAACCCCAAAAGGAAAAGTCCTCTTAGATCTTCTGTCCTGAGTTATAGGCATTTTACTGGAATTTCGCCTATAGCATGATATACACCAACAAATCGAATGACGGTGTTTCGACTTAAGATTTTGCCCATAGACAGATCTATTGGCCATTAGAATGTTCGAAAAATCTCAGCTCAAAAGAATGTTCTCTTCTCCAAACATCAAGGTCTCAAAAATCATCCATAGCTTACAAATGATGCTAGAATTTTCCGTTTTTTGAAACTTTAATATTTCGAGAAGAAAACATTCTTTTGAGCTGAAATTTTCAGAACATTCTACTGACCAATAGATCTGTCTATGGGCAAAATCTTAGATCGAAATACCATTATTCGATTTGTTGGTGTATATCATGCTATAGCCGAAATTCCAGTAAAATGCCTATAACTCCGGACAGAAGGTCTAAGAGGACTTATCCTTTTGGAGTTTTTCATATCTCTTTAGAGTCTATTTTATGCACAGAGTCCGAACTCAAAAGCAACTTGACAGTTGAAAATATTTCCTCGTGAGTTAGTCCAAATGTTGCTGGATACCTATATTACAATGCCTATATCTCCATAATTGTTCATCCATTTGAGCTGATATTTTTAGTTTCTATCTAACTTTACTAGGTCTATCTACTATGAAAATATCAGGCAAGCTCATGGGAACGATTCAGCAAAGTTGTGCTAGGACCGGTCACTATTTACGCTAATGTCCTTCAAATCACTTATATGATAGAAAATACATGGAATCACTATAAAGCATCTATTAAATTAGCTAATCGGGCTCTAACATCGCTTCTACACATTCTCACATCTGCTCAGCATCATAACTGCAGAAAAAGATAATATTTCAAAATTTTGTCGGAAACCTTAATCATTCGATGGTGATTCCGTCACGGCTCTCTTCACCTGCCAAAATGCTTATAAGAACACTCAATTCGTTGGTTGGATAGAGCGTAAAAAACTGTATTTAGAGCACTGCTTTTTGAAGTAAAAAAACAATTACTCTTGGCTAGAAATGAATTATAAGGAATTTTCGTGATGGAATCACCTTCACTAATGGATTACATTTACAAACGTAAATAAATTTCTGAAGAAACGCAGAATGATAGATCCCTTATCATCATTGTACAGAGCTTTGAAAGCATTATTAATTGATGTGACAGCTTTCGAAAAGGACAGAGTTATATATATGAAAAACTCGAAAATAAGAAATCATAATAAATATTGGTTTTTATCTCTTGCACGACACATCGCTTTCCTAGTGCTTTTTCTTCCAAGAATTAGCATAAATATGTAAAGAAATATGCATTTCTATATGTTATCAGCATCGTTCTACACGATGGTCATATTGGTTTTGGCAGATTGAGTAGGTCAACTTCGCCCACCATGGTATACCGTTACGTGGACAGGCCGTCAGTGTGCTCACTTTTAGAATAAACAAATACAATCGTTAGGAAATCATAGCTCCGATTCAATGGATTACCATTAAAACATGAATATTTAATGAACACCAATTTGATGGGTCTAAGTATGAAAACAATATAATTATATGCATCATCGATTAATTAACCGCTACTTAACTTAACCGACTTCAATAATGTATCATCATTGAGAAAGTATCATTTATAACCTTGCTCAATTTAGATGTGATGGTGAGTGTGATGATGTTTATCTAATCTTCTGCGTCATCAACCTCCACATCCTTAACTATAGTTTGGTATATTCTATATCATTATCCACCTATAAATAATATCACATATGCTTGGCTTATTGCTACAACATATTTTCTAATTGGTTTTACATGTGCTACTGATGTTTTTGCACTTAAGTAATTTAGTCAATCGTCTTTAAATGGTTTGGAATTAGAACATAACACTTGCAGCATTTTTATATTCATCTCTATATCATTATTTACATAATTTTAAATCTATTTCTTGAAACTATATCTTGGTAGCGTCTATAAGTCGACTAGCACTCTTAGATCAACGTTTGTAAATGCAGTTAGAGTGTTAATGTTAATTAAAAAATTTATCTCACACTTCTTGCTGTATTTGTCATGATGACATCGAAAAAAAAATCGAATCGTTTTAATGTAGTAGCGGGTATAATGGTCACGCAAAAAGAAAATAATAATAATAAACAATATCGATAATAAATAGAAACAAAATGAATAAGCTACACTACGACAATACTTTCCATAGTACTACTCTAGCAAAGATAATTTTTTTCTCTTGTCATATTTGTTCAGTTTAATAAAGTAAAGAATAGTAGTACAAGTTGCTGAATTGATTCAATAAATATGTTTATGAGATGGATGCCATGAATTCTTGAATAGCATCAATAGCTTGTGCACATGCTTTTGGATAGGTTCCTGTATCGATAAGAGTGTTATTGGTGAAAATTTGTTTTTCTAATAAATTTCTTACCAGGTAAAGCAAAAAAGTCATGAATAACACCTTTGAAAAGTACAAGCTTGTTCTTTACACCAGCTTTATCCAGAATTTCCTTATATGCTAAAAAAAGATGAATTCAATTTATATACACATACATTTTCTCCTCTCTATAAAGCATGTTTATACCATAGCTATCATCTCGAAGTGGATCTAGTTCAGCAACAATAAATAAAGTTGGTGGTAATCGATCGGGTGATGTATTACGTAAGACAGATATTCGAGGATCGTTCGCATCAACTTCATTATTAAATGCATTTTTGATAGACCTATGAAAATAAGATGAATCATTTGAGTCGAAATATTGACTTAAACATAAACTTTTCATACCAATCAAGCAGTGCAGGTGTAGAAAGATACTGTTCATCAGTAAATTCCTTGTAAGACGGTGCTGAACGAGTAAAATCATACAAACCATAGACGAGAATCTATTGATTATTATCGAAATAATCATGATCTATTTTCGCATATAGAACAGAAAATTTTACCTGAAAATCGATATTTTTCATCTCTTGACTAACGGCTGCGCTAATCGTACCTCCGGCACTATCACCTGCTACGCCAATCTTAGCTGTTTTATCAACACCTAAATGAATAATCAATATCGTTAGATCGAACCAAGATATTGATAGATAAACAAACAAACCATAGGATTCTTTATTTTCGATAATATGTTTAGTTACTGCACATGTATCATCGAGCCAAATCGGATATTTATGTTCAGGACTTAGACGATATTCGACCGAAATCCAAACAGTTTTTGTCGCACTAAATCACGAACATAATATCTATTGAATAAAAAAAAGCAAAAATTTTAATACTCTGCAAGAAGATTTATAATCGCTTGATGCGTTCTTCGACTGCCTACTATCCAGCCTAATTTAAAACAAAATTATCAATTAAAATTAATAGTCAATCATGATCCGACCTCCACCATGGAAGTAAACAACTAATTTATCTTTGTTGGTATTAATCGGTGTATAAATATTAATTGGTATATCTAAATATTGTTTTTTTTTTCAATAAGAATGAAGCACATATTTCACTACGTCACAATCTACCGGCAGAGTTCGTCTTCACTTGTTTCTCTTCAAGTTTGCCATTGAATGTTCCATTAAGCTTTTCATTGCCTTTACTATGAAGATCTTCAAGCCATTCTCGCATCAATTCAGGCGATAAAGTACTCGATGGTTGTTGAAGTGTTGCAGCTAATTGATGAAAGACCTTTACCTCATCGGTGAAACGTGGATCCCTAGAAGAACCAAGTGAAATACGAACGAATAATTTGATCATTTAAAAAAAATGCAATTACATGGAAAATTCTTTCACACACTGGTCTACTTTTCAAATAAAAGTCAACTTTTAACGATCGATAATGATGTAAACACTAAATAAGAGATAAAAATATATATTGATAATGATAGACATGTTAACATGCACGAACACCGAAAAAAAAGAATCTAAATAAAGGTATGCCCATGTGACTCTCACGTTGACTTATTATGATGAAGGATATCGTATACACAGCTAAATTTAGACGTGAAACCTTGACTCCAGCAAAAATCGTTTACTGCGTCGTTTTTTATTTGTTTTGTGAAGATTAGTTTATATACATCATATATCAGAGATGTCCATCGCGGCGCTGCCGCTGCCGCTGCCGCTGCCGCGGTGGCGGTGGCGGCGCGGCAGCGGCAGGTTTTTAAAAAAAATCACCGCGGCAGCGGCGCGGTAGCGGCGGATTTTTTTAAAAGTCATCGCGGCAGCGGCGCGGTAGCGGCAGGTTTTTTAAAAAACCATCGCGGCAGCGGCAGGATTTTTTTGGAGGACATTGAAAAACTGTATGAATTTAATAGAATTTCACGATTTACAAATGAAACGCCCTGATATTGAATAAATCTGATGGACTAGTACCCATATCTCTGGTCAAATATAGTCACAGCAGTGAAATTAGAAACACTTTTTTGAAAATCGTCGCGGCAGCGGCGCGGTGGCGGCACGTTTATTTTATAATTCATCGCGGCAGCGGCGCGGCAGCGTTTCTTTTATAAGTCATCGCGGTGCGGCAGCGTCGCGGCAACATTTTTTTATAAACCGTCGCGGCGCGGCAGCGGTGCGGCAGCTTTTTTTTTCTAAGGCCGCGGCGCGGCAGCGGCAGATTTCCAGCCGCGATGGACATCTCTGTCATATATTGAAACAGTAGACTGGTAATCGAAGATGAAAGACTGATTTTTATTCTATTTTAAATAACATGCAAAATAGTAATAGATTAATGGGTGTAAAACAAGTTTTGATCATCTTGAACAATATTCTTGTCTAATATATTTCAAGAGTAGAAGAGATTGATTTTCGCAGCATACATGTTCTAATCACAAGATTTAGCATGAAGTCCTCTACAAAACTATATTCCATTTTGTTTGAAACTCATTTCAAATATAACAAAAACAGATGCAAACAAGAAAAAAAATCAAACAGATGTCGAAAATGATTACGCATGTGAAGATGTTTTATTAAATTAAATTCAATTACAAAAATAAATGGTTAGTAAAATCGACTTCCTCATAGCACACATTATGCCAGCTTTTCATTGTTTTTGTGCCATATTTAAAATGAGTTTTAAACCAAATTATACATAGTTTGGTAGAGAATTTCATGTTGAATCTTTTAGTTAAAATATATATGTAGAGCGAGTGGACAAGGAGAAGATAATTTGAACATACTCAAACTATAAATTCTTTATGTTTAACAATTATTTCTAGAACTAATTCACAAATTTTTTGTAAATTTTAATTTGCTTATATCGCCATAACAACAATAAATGAACAGCTCGAATTCTACAATATTGGTTGAAAGAATCAAAAACTTATTTTGTATCCTTTAATCGCTGTCCATTTTTAATTATGACAATATCTTAATGATTGTACATCAATATGAGCATGAGTGTGACAATGGTTTTAAATCTTTTATCGCAGGTTATCAGGATAAGTGAAAGAATCAATACAACCATCTTGAATTATGTGATGACAAATACATTTTGAATGACTTTGAATAATTGGATATGTACGAAAGATCCCATCGTGAGCAATTGTTTGTTGGAAAAATGCTTCTCGGTATTTCATATATAGATAACAAAGAATATTATAAGCACGGATCTTTTTGCATTTGATTGAAGTATGCAATGAAACCAAATGATTCAAATCGTGTTTTATTTTGTATATTTAGCATGAAAGCAGTGGTCTAATCAAGTTTTTTTTTAAATAAATGTCAGAATTAATACAATCTGAAAATATGAATATCTCAAAAAACAAACTCTACGTCAGAAGATTTTGACTGCATAGTTTCGTAGTTCATTAAATACAATATAATTACTTAAGCCCGAAGTCGATTAACAGAATATGAGATAGAATTAGGGTGTGAGTATGTGTGAATGTGGGTGTGGGTGTCGATGCGGGTCTGGATATGGGTTGGGTGCGAGTCTTGCTCTTCTTCTTATCCATACCCACACCCACACCCAAAATATATCTTTGCCCATGCAACTCGATGTGCTTTATTCGATGAAAACAAAAACAAAATTTGCTGAAGTTTTGAATTACGCGCATCTTACAATAATGATGATAATCTATGTATATTATAGTTAGTATGAATAGTTGAAAAATTTTATTTTCGAATATTTTATTTTTTTTTTCTTTATATACTTATAAAGGTTAGTGTAACTTTTCATATGTAGTATATTACAATTAAAATATATCAAGCAGATTAAAACGAAGAACTGTTGTCACTATATACTAATCTATAATATAACGTATGGACAGACGAATGATGAGTAGAACGATGTTAGCTTATTCTCTCATCAATTCGTAGCAGAACTTTTTTCCCCTCCTGCTTTCATTTGGTCTTATTCTCATAAATAATAAGATATATATCAGACAAGCAAAGATATCTTTCTCGTTTTTTGTTTTGCTTGTATTTATTCAACGAGAAACAAAGTAATAAAGAAAAAAAATGGTCGTTTGAATACAACGATATCTTTCTCTGTCTTCTAGTCTACTATGTATTCTATACTGAAAAGAAACAATTCTTTTACGGCAAATATTGTTCGACCAAAATGTTCTTTATATATTTAGTTTATTTTTGATATATAAGAATAAAAGTAAATTTCGTTTTAGTAATCATATTCAATTTTAATAGAGTATCGTCACTATTGATTAATGATACTAAGTGTTTTTCTTTTTTCTTTGAAAAGAAGAAAAATCCGAATTCTTATTGTCGTTGTTCTTGTTTTCTAATGATGATATTGTTATATAATAAGAGCATAACCAGATATCATATGTTGTGTCTATTAATTTTTTTTGTTTTTTGAATGCCGCCGATAATCTAAACCTTTAGGTAATAACAACAGTATACTTTTAAGATCCCTAACTACTATTATCTCTTGTTATATTCTATCGCAGTCATTTATCCTCGAAACATTTCTTATCACCGGGTTGACGTACCATACTCATGGTTGTATTAGATTGATGAAAATATAATAGATCAAATACAAAAAAGTAAGAAAATTATGTTTTTTTTTTATTAATTATAGATTTGAATGATCATTATAGTAATGATGATATAAATAGTTATACATATACATAGATAAAATGACTGATGAACAAATGATGGGTGCTGAAGCTGATGATATTCAGTTTATACACGCGGTAATAAAATTTTTTATTTTGTTTTTTGTTCAAATGAATATATTTCTACGAAGATCATATATTTTTAAGTTGCGTATCTGTATCAGTACGAGCTTTGCTAGAAATGCTTAATAGAACTTCAACTGAACAAGTAATAAAAGTTAAAAATAAAAATAGAAACAAAAATGACTCTTTTCCTCTTAGTTATCAGCAACTCAAGATGGACAAACTTTTCGAGCATTATTATATGGTCATGTAATTCTTCTTCAACATTATCGTAGTCAAATGGTAGTTTTTAAATTTAAGACTTTGTTCTTTCAATAATTAATCTTGGATCATATATATTCGAATCTCGTAGTTGTAGAAAAAAAGCTACACTAAAGTTTTTCAGTTTTGTTATGACCTTTTCGAAACATTAAACAAACAAAGGTCAAGAATAGCTTATTCAACTAACCATAATTCTCTATAGACTTTCCGTTAAAAGGCTTAATTCTTTTATATTTAAAAGCTCATATCAGAGTTTACTGTTATTTTCTAAAAAGTCTTCCTTTTTATGCGAAAATCATCATCAATTTATGTAAAAAGACGATATGCCACATAAAAAAAATCATACCCTATACTATCATTTCATTTTCAATTTTGCTTAATAGAAACTTAACAAGAAAAGAAAACTTATATGTATATAGATTGTTCTTTTAGTACTTGAGTTGTTTATCAACTAGTACATCGAATGCCAAACTTCCTTTTGATGTCGGCTTAAAAGAAAATGCACAAAGTAAATATAAATTTAAAAAAATAAATGTTTAATATGATAAATCATTTTCGTTTTTTTTTTCAGGCGAATCTTGTTGGTGGAACATTCATTCAGCATCAAAACAAAGAAGCGAAGGCAAAAGGCTGTGCTTTAATGATGATATTATTTTCGTTTCAGTTTCTTTTTGAACGTTATCTCGCAAGTAACTTTAGTTTTTCTCTAAGAAAAAAAAAACTCTTTGTTAGTTTTTGTTTAGAATGCCTATATGTCAACAAGTGAACGTAGTCAAGTCAATGCATCATTTCGTCAGCAAGTATGGAGTCTTGTACCAATATTGAGAAGTGTAGCATGTGTATAAACTTCAGATTTTGAGAAATATATATATATGATTAAGTATATAAAACAAATATTTTTATTGAAAAATTAGGATTTGTTCTTGGTGGTGATGTTCTATGATTAATACATGGTAATATGGATCATTGTATAACAACACCATCACTATCAGAATCACAAACAACTGATGATTCTGGAAGGTAATTTATTTCATGAGAATTGCTTTCATTTTGAAAGTTTACAAAAAACCAATTGAGATATTTTTATATGGGTCAATGCAGCTCGACGAGATAGTGGTCTACAAGAATATGTAGGAATATTGAGAGAACAAATCGTTCTCAAAAATCTATTATCACTAAAAGTATCAAGGAGTGTCTGACTTGAGTCGGGTCATGTAAGTAATAATTAACCTTAGCTTGGATCGATTAGATGTTTATTCAAGATTTCTCTGAAAGCTCTATTAAGTGTTAGCATTGGATATGTAGGTGTTGTCGCTTCTGTTTATCCTATATCTTTCGTGCTGATACTTAATTGAGTGTCCTGGGACATCCGCAGAAAAGATTACTATAATCGGGTCGCATCTACAGTCTAAACATGTTGTATAAGTAGAAGGCATTTTGAATGTTTGTTTTTGAAGGCCTCTAAGAGAGTGTGGAAAACTTAGTAGAACAACAAATTGTATATACAGCATGATTTTTTCCTTTACGTCACCGATTTTTTTTTTATTGACATCAGACAATGATGTATAGAAAGTGCTTTGTCTATTTAATGATGGTAGATAGATCGCAGGTTGCATACAGAAGAACAGATAGAAAACAAAAATAAATTTTATCAGATAATATGATTATCTCAACTATGGAATATTGGTGAAATATCAAGGGCATATAAATTATTTTCAACCAGGAAATAAAGAAAGATTGAGAAAACTGATCTCAATGCCAGAGTCCGATTCGAATCACAAACCTTGAACTCATGCGGAATACTGGTTAGATTAGCAGAACAAAAGTTGTTGAAGAGTTTCAACCCTTTAAGTATGTCTGTAAAAGGCGGCGGAGATCTTTGCGTTACGGATTTAAAGAAAATTTGAGCGAAATTCAATTGTGGCTAGAGAGATTGAGCTCTTTTACGTTGGGCGTTCACAGAACATTTTTTACTCCCTTTTACTTTGTATGAAGAATATGATGTAATTAAAAAAATATTTATTTGTCTATTTTAGTTTATTTATCAAAAGTGGTGCTGCTTATCAACAAGCTCGATCATTATGGCGTATTGAATGTTTTAACCCTTTCGTACCGTGGTTATTTTCTGTAAGAAAATCGAATGTATTTAATGAGAAAGTACCTCTTATTACACTTGATGAAAGAGCTTGAGCGTCTGAAAGTTAAAGCAATCTTGTTTATTGCTGGAAATCCTATACAGTCAACGGGCTTCATCATGGATAATATAGTTCTCATTAGAAGTATTTCAATATATGATAAGTCTCGAAGTAGGACGCTATGTATAACCCAACATTGCATGTCCTGCGCTCGTACCGCGTTTTTGTTTCCTACTTTGGACTAAGGATTGTGTGGTTACAAATGAAGCAAGGTCTTCATCCATCCATGGAGCTTTTCGCTTTTGATGAAAAGTGTCGTGCAGTCATGCGCATGGGGGTCTCTGTTGGTTATCCTCTAGTGCGACCCGATTTAGGAATGTCGAATTCTTCCAGAAGCTACAAAACCATTTTCAGTCGAAAGTCAGAAAGACAATATTCTCTTCGATCTGCAGTTTGTATAGCACGCAAACAATGCAGAGCAAGATATCAAATAAATGGAAGCATGAAACTGGACTTCGAATACATTTTGATACATGTATCAGAAGGAAAATGTTACTGTCCCATATATGGGACACCCAGCGCGAACGGGTTAATCATTATCTCCAGTGACATACAGTCGAATGAAATTGATATCAATTCATTTTTTCAACAGCTAAAAAACGTTTTGATGAATAGACTATTGAACGAAAATGTATATTAATTCTAACACATTTAGATTTAATAGCTTCGGAAGACGACAGAACTATGGTCGATCATTTGCAACAAAATCCACATTTAACAGAATGGATTCGGTGACGTAACGGTTATTACTTTGATCGAAATAAACTACAGGCGGATGTGAATGTGACTAAAAGAAGCACTGAAATCCTTGCTGACATAATAGAAAAAGTACGTATGGTACGTACTTTTGAGTGACAAACATTAGTCCTCTTGGTAGCTTTTTGAAACAAAATAAATCGTGCTCATGCATTTGATGGGAACTTCACAGAAATAACAACAGAAACCTTGCTTACGACATTTTCCGTAAGATGAGATCAGATGTGGGTGTGAGTGATAGTGTTTTTGAAAAGAAGACCACCATACCCCACACTCACACCCACCCACACCCCACACCCACACCCACACTCACATCCCACATCCATAAAAATACACATACATGTTTGAAAAAGAACTGTTTTCATTAGATTTCGGAAGTTTTTTAAAACATGCTATTGTTTTAGAAAGCTGCTTTCTGCTATGGTTCGATTCTTTATCAAACAGCGTTCAATTAGATTAAATTTTCATCATTGATCGCCGAAAGTATTCTTCAAAGGTAAAGTCATCTGTTTTTATTTTGTCACTTTGCTATCCGTACTTACAACGTTTTTTGAAGCGAGAACGCGTTAGTTTGAATGCGGATCTTTATGTGTTTAGGTTACTAAAAAGATCAGATTTTTGAAAAAATGTTAAGTTTATTTCTAAGATACAAAGTTAACCATCTTTCAAAGAATTTTCGACACAAGGTGATAAAATTTGCTTAATATTGTAATATGTCACTAAACAGATCTAAGAACATCTTTCGTGTTGCAAAAAAACTTGCAAAGTCTGGTTCAAAATTTTGTTTTCATCAAACATGTATTTGTTTTTTTTCTAGCATTCTATCTATGTTGAAAATTTGAGCTTGATCAATTGCGCCGTTTTCAAGAATCATAAGTTGTCAAGAAGGAGGGGTGTGCGGATGTGGATGTTAGATTGTTTTTAAACACACCCATGCCACCCACAGCCACCCATCTACACACCCACCCCAATATGAAGATATTTTTCATTAATTTATTCTATTTCAAGGATGTACATTTTGTGATCCTCAAAATTACTCACTGACACCGATATATGACTCACTAATATAAATAATAGTAAATCTATCTAGAAAGAATTTTAACTTTCTACGACTGAATGATACAATTTTAAATAACGGAGTAATCGAGATCTAGATTATTTTAGGTCACTACTCAACTTTTCCTTAATGGATTTGCTTTATAACCGAAACCGACTGTTTATCAAAAAAAAAACTAAAAAAGAGGATAAAACATGAAAATATAGCAAATTTTCACTTTTAAAATTGGGAAAAAAGGCTTTTTCGTAATTTTCCTGGTCGATTCGTTTTATGACCGAATACAACTCTCTCAATCATTAGTATCTATGCCGATAAATAGGATCACTACGTATGTACATATTCTATTAGTTGATTGATGTGAGAGCATTCGGTCACAACGCGGTTAGACGCTCTGACTTGATGACCGACAGTAGCTGACCGTTCTATCTGTGCTCTCTTCTCACTTCTTTCGTATATAAACTCGTGTTCTATGTATAGTAGAGACAACGGGAGTGATAGAACTGTTTTGTGAATATCGTACACCGAGGATAGCGGGAACGATACTCCTCAAGTTTGTCATTGTGTTCACAATAAAATGAATACTACAGTAACGAAACAGTCTATTTCTCTTTTTTTGCTACAGTGTCGTTAACTGTATAAAGCAACAGAAGAGTCGAGCAACTCATCAATCTACGCAACATGCTCCTTTTATTGATTTCAAAAATCCATATTATGATTTATTCCATCCAATGATTGACTAACACAAGTATTCATCGGGAAAATCAAAAACAAACAAAGCAACTTATCTTTATTCGCTTCGTGTCACTTTGAAAACATAGAATTATAGATTATTTCTTTCTCTAGTCAAATAGATATTTTTCATCGAGTTTATTCATTATCTTTTTACTGAACTTTGGAAACATTTGTTTTCGTGGATGTTTAAACAGGTTAAAGTTTGTTCGTTGATCAATCTGAATAGAGTATTTATTAATATAAACTGGCTTTTTTCTAACTGAAAGAATATAAACCAAAATTTTACGACTAAAATTCAATATTCTCCTCTATTTAAAAACAGTTTCATTTTAGATTTTTTGCCTGTTTAATTTAGATGAATATTTTCTACCTAAAACAATTTTCATCATTAAATATATCACGGAAAAATAAACGTGCAAAAGTTTTGTTTCACCGGTTTTCAAAATTTATCAATATTATGAAGAAGATTAGAAGTAAACTATATGATTCAATACAGTAGTTCATCATCTATTCATTATATCAATATAAGAAATATTCGAACTTTGTGGTAAATACAGAAAACTGAATAAAGCAGATACATTCAAACAATGTTTTGAGAAAATGCGTTTAAACGCAAAAATACCGTTTTTTTCTAAAGATTGACGTTCGAATGCTGTTTTATAGAAAACTATTTTATCTTGAGTACCATCTCATTTATTTATTTTATTTTTTCATCAATAATTCACGATGATTTGGCTACTATTTATACAAATTATCTCGCTAGTTTTTTCAACCTTTTGTACATTGATAAACATGAATCAGAGTTTAGCTGGAATATTTTATTAAAAGAGATAAATGAATATAAATTATTACATAGCACATTTACAAACTGACCAAAACAAAAATTTTCTTTTACAATAACCGTTTTCATATCCACATATTCTGCATTTCTCAATGCATCCGGTCACTCCTTGAGTAGCACATGTACGCGATGGTAGACCACAACTATCACCAGAAACATTAATCACTAAAAATATTAAATAGATAGAGACAGCTTCAAAATGTTTCACTTAAATGTACACACTACACAATGCGAATATGAGAGCGAAGACAATCAATACGACAGTCAGTGTTCGAGCCATGTTAACGATTTTTGTTCTGATCTCGTATATAAATGCTCTTGTATTTATAGTGAAACAATTCGGAAATATTTTATTTAATATGTTGAGTGACATAGGATAATCAGTTTAAAATAAACATGACCCAATAGATCTTTTATTAGTAATCGTCAGATCTTATTACGATTATTTTATTACATGCAGTTACTCATACTTATCTATCTACATCAATTCTCTAGAAATAGTAGCATCGTATTTTTCTAGTTACATATATTCTCTCTATTTCATATGATATATTTTTATTCTGTCAGCAAATATCAAAGTATCATACCAGCACATCCACACCAGAACGAAAGAGAATACAATACTCTTATCATCGTGATGACATGAGGTGGGCTAGACTAAGCCATTCATTATCGTAGTAAAGAAATCGCTTGCCATAACAATTTCTCAATATCCATTTTTAGTCAAATCTACACTTGTATTTTATACTATTTTTAAATGATGAATCTATATATGGAAATAAGGAGATAAATCATTTTTGAAATATTTTCTATTTTCATGTTTGTCTTACTCATACACATGTGACGTGAATAAATGAATAGATTCCTATCGTAGGATCACGTGAGGACAATATTTTTATACATTTGAAGAAGAGAAGAGAATGACTAATGGATTTATTATACTAAGCATAACGATAATTTTCGATAAAAATTAATTATGAATAAAATGAAAATATTGAATATGACACTGTTGAAATATTTTAGATGTGGAATGGAATAAAGAGGTTTTAAAAAGTTTCGATGACTAGTTTAGTTGCTCAACACAGTTTCACTCTAAATAAATAATGATATCGGACATAAAAAATTCTAATTAATATTTTATGTAAATAATTGAAAATTGATTTTATTATAATCGATGGTTATGTTTATTAGTGTTGTAAGTTGAATATTGTTTTATTTGAAAATATTCAAAATGATCATTAATCATTAAATAAAAGTGAAATTATTTAATTGATTAAACGTTGTCAAAGAGTATTAAGTCTTTGAAAGCTTTTTAAAATGTTAATTATTTAATGTTGAAGTTTGTCAGAGACTTTTTCGTAATGTGATATAGTTGCATATTTGACAATTATTTATCAATGAATTTGTCACAAAATCGTGGTAAAGTTCTATTCGTATTAGACAGTGTCAATGGAAGTCCATCTAAAATTAATTAGAATGATATGACATTTGAATATACATATTCTCTTTCGTCTTCTACCAATCGTGCATTGTCACTTACTGATCATGCTATACAATATTTTGCCACACAACCAGAGAATACGAATATAACATTTACTCATGCCTTTCCAGCGAGTGTGGGTGGCAGAGTCCTGCGGAAATGAATTTTTCCCCTATTTTCCCGTCCCGATTCCCACGGGAATCGGGAACAGGAATTCCCGTGGAGATTTCAGGACGTGAACACGGGAACTGAAACGGAAAAAAAAATATCCATTCCTGAAAATTCACTTGTCCTATTTCTATATGCGCTAAAGTGTGTTCGTGTAACAAACTTTTACTTTCAATAACTATTTTCGTATATAATAAACAAAAAAAAAGAGCAAATATTTATCGACAAAATTATGGAAATTCATTCATTTTTCACTACATCTTACATTATGACAACGATCAGCTTCTTTATAATTATCATTGAAAGCACGATTATCAAGATTATCTTACACGACATTGATATCATCTTCTTCTTTTGAAATTTTTGCTTTTCTCATTGGTGTCATCAAAGTGCAACTATTTGTTCTTTTTCTTAATTACTCGGTTGATGATGAAACGACTTCTTGTTGTATCTCTATGGTTCGAAAAAGGATATTTTTAAAATATTAATTGTCGAAATACACAGCACTCGTTGAGCTATTGTAGATAGTATAGAGTTAACTATTTATTATTGTTTCAATATATAAAAACATTCACATCTTTTCCCACTTGTATCTGATCTTCAAGTTATCTTGTGAATTCAGTCTTTATTTGGGGTGGGTGTAGGTGTAGATGTGGTTATAGGTGTGAGTTAACAAGAGTTCCACTCACACCCACCAACCCACACCCCATCCGTACCCACACCCAGACAAGGAAAATCGAAAAATTTACGGGTAGAAATTGGTGACAGAAAAAAGTGGGAGCGAGTTTAATTAAGGTAAAAACAGGTTTTGCTCGATTTGATCTATGAAAATACACAAATCCTCAATGTACAATCGATATTTTTCTTTGTATTCCACATACAACTGAATCTCGTGATGAAATGCTTGTTGAATGTCGTCGAATCTATAAGGATAATGAACAAGTTCTTGCTGAAATTGATGCATTCGATCAAATGTATCATTCAAATGCTGCTCTTCAATGGTATTCACGTGATAGTTTTCTTTTTCAAATAATTAATCAAGCACTTCGATCAAGTAATGTCAATGCCATGTTTAAAATGAGATATTTTCTTACGGATCTTTATGCACCACTCCATGAATTAAATAAACAAAAGAACCATATTTAATTCATATGAAAAACAACAAATAGAAAAAGTTCTATCTTCGTCAACATATGTCTAAAATAGAATATGAATATTTTCAACAGATTCAAGGTAGTATTACATCAATCAATACGTTTTTATCAACAACTAAATCATTACAAATGCACTTTGCTTTGCAAATACATGGACAAAGAATAATGATGTAATTCCAGTAAGATTTTGCATTGAAATAAATCAACATTGTGAATATCTTTGACCATTTGCTGATATTTCCAAATTTTCAATATTTCATGATGAAGAAGAAATTTTATTTGCTATCGGTAGCGTGTTTCGTGTTCAATACATTGAAACATTAGGCATAATAAATAATATTTCTATTATATATTTAACATTAATCGATCGAAGAGAATTATAGAAAAGAATTTTTTTCATCAATATTCAATTCGAAAAATTTAATTAATAAACTTTAAAAAACATTTCGTTTATCGAAGTTTTATGATTGCACATAATAAAATTATTTGCTTTTTTCAACATCATTTCCGAGTTTCAATGAATTATATATACATGCATGAATAATGTAAATGAAAGATGAAGAAGAAACTGTTTTTTCAATTTCCATTCTTTTGTTGTACAGTATTCATTATGTTGCTCTTAATTTTTTTTAATTTCTACCAAGCTTGAAGCAATGATTGACGAAATATCTGTTTTTAAGAAATAATCAAGTGTGGATGGAACACGCAGATATTTCCATCCGGATGTAGCAGAGGCGCGAGAGATGTTTTAACAATAATCGTGGCGACAGTGTTTTTTGCAGAACCTTCGGAACTGTATTAATTTGTCCAGAGTTTCAGCATCTATAAATGTAACACCCTGAGACTCAACAATTCTAGCTCATACAGTCACAGTAGTGAAATTCGAAATATATTTTTGAATACCATCGTAGCAGCGACAGATTTTCAGCCGCAATAGACATCTCTGGTAGCACGATACAAAGGATATGTAATGAGAGTTATTCAATATTTTCTTCTACTTTAAAACGGTATTTAAATGACTGTTGACTTGATAGATCTGATGAAAAGTAATTACTGTTACAATGACCGTCTGCTTGCTATTAGAAGCGAACTTAATTACGTTGTTAATTTCTACTATGTATTTTTTTAGAGATATCTTTAAATGAAGTAAAATTTTAATGTGACGATAGTTTGATATTGTCGCATGGTGTATTGAAATAAAATTCGATTCTAGCACATTCATTATTCATATGTAGTAGTGTACTTTTCTGTTATTTGAACTGCTTCGTTACATTTAATATGATAAACAATCTTATAGTAAACATAAACGTATATACGTAATAGTTTTTTTTTTCTTCTATTAAATGTTTGTTTGCCATACGCAGTAACAAAGCGAGAGAAAAAGTACGACTGCACTCGTACTTCGAACTTTATGTGAACTAGATAAAGTTTTCACTTTTTTTTTCCTTTGATTCATAGGCATATGAATCATGTAAATGTGATAAAGTGATGTCTTGTTTTATTTGTAGACCACTAAACTTTATTATTTTTGATAAATTAGAATTATACAAGAAATTATATTGTTAAAAGTTTCGAAATGAAGCTTATCAGCTTTATGCCGAAGATTTTATATTTGATGTTATTTTTTTTAAGATTTCACTTTATTAATATGGCTAATTCAACTACAAATAATACGAATAATGATAGTCGTATCCCTTCCGTGATGAAAGCTGCTCAACAAAGTGGTTTTGGAGATGTACGTGATGTTCTTACGCTTGGCGAGAATGTATCTGTACCTCGTCAATTATCATCTAAACAAATTCTTGTTCAAGTTTATGCTGCTGCAATCAATCCAGTCGATTGGAAAATTTTAAATGGAAGATTATCACTTGTTACTCGATATTCATTTCCTCATACACCAGGTACTGATGTTGCTGGTGTCGTTGTTGCTATCGGTTCAGGAGTAAAACGTCTTCGAGTTGGCGATAAAGTTTATGGAGATCTTGGAATTCATGGTGGTAGTTATGCTGAATATGTTCGTGGAGATGAATCATTATTTACATTGAAACCAAATAATTTAACAATGGAAGAAGCAGCTGCTGTACCTTTAGCATGTGACACTAGTTATCAAGCATTGTTTAAAAAAGCTTCACCTCCTATTGGAACAGGAAGTAAAATATTAATCTGTGGTGGTAGTACAGCAACTGGTTTATATGCAATTCAATTAGCTAAAGCAGTTGGTGCTAATGTTACCGCCACATGTTCACAAAGAAATTTTAGTCTGATGGAAAAACTTGGTTTGTATTCTACCATCTATTCTATAGAATTTATTTTTTTGTTATTGTTGTTTATTCTTTCCAGGATATACAATAACACAAACAAATGATGAGACAAATAATGATCAAAATCGATTACATGTTATTGATTATAATGAAAAAGATTTCGGAGAAGAACTGAAAGGTAAATATATTTAGGTTATCATTTTATTTTATTTTTATCTCTAGATCAAAATTATGATCTTGTATACGATTGTGTTGGTGGTGAACAACAATGGATATCAGCACAAAAAATATTAAAACGAGGTGGTCAATTTATTACTATTGTTGGTGATGATACCTCATCTATTATTTCATTGAAAACATTGGTTATAGCTGGTTCCAGTTTGGTAAATCGAAAATTTTGGTCTGTTTTTGGTTCAGCTCATCATGGTTATATACGTCATTTATTAAATGAAAACTTTCAAGACCTTGATGATATTCGAACAAAATATATTGAAACAGGCAAAGTTAAACCATTAATTGATACAGTATTTGATTGGCGAAAAGATGGTGTAGAAGCTTTATATTCACTTTATGAAAAATCCAAAAGTGGAAAAGCACAAGGAAAGTTAATTCTTAAAATAGCTGATGAAGGATAAAGAAACATAATTTTTTTTAAACATTTTTTATCAAGATAAATTAATAAAGAGATTTTTTAAAAATTTTTATTATTTCTAATGTATATGTTTTGTCTAAATCTATGGTAGTTCAAGTTCAAAAATTCTGATAAACTGATCAAAAGAACTGTCGATGTAGATCAATTCCTATCAAAATAATTCATCTGAGCTTTTGAGCCTAGATTGTGCTAGAGCTAATCATTCAAAGAGAAAATGACTTGTTTTTAACAACAAAGGCTTTGCGGAAATCCATGATCAATACAATTAGTTAACCATAATGAAAAGTTAAGGTGTGGGTGTGGGTGTGGGCTTGTTGTTGAAGAGCACACACTCACACCCGCAATTGACATTTCTTCGATTTATACTCCCATCATATTCTCATCCTACTCCATTCCGATATACAAGCAGACTAATTGTTACAACCACACTACAACAGAGAGCCATCATCGGTGCTGAGCTGAAATATGGATAACATGGAAGCTCTGCACATCCACACGATTCACACTCTCCCGCGAGCAACTGTCCTGCGGAGACGTGTCCGAATCCCGTAGTATTGTTTCTAAACATACCTGATAATGCTCCAGTAGCAAGAATCGAAACATGGCGTATGACTCTGCTTGAACCATTCTCTTCTTTGAGCTTACCCACACCATCACATCCTCTTAAATAGGAACGACAAGTGTGACATTTTTAGTTGACAACATGAACCCGCAACACATTTCGGACAAAACACTTTTCAATCATCTTCGTTTCAATCTAACTTAAAACTATCATCCCTAAAAACCATAGAAAGAAACTTTCGATGTCAAAATATACTGTGTGTAGAACGAAATTGGTTTTACAAACATTTCTTTTGATAAAGAGTGAATGAATGAGTCTTGAAATACCGTAAAACTACCAACAACAGAATGCTTGTGAATCGTATTTTCGATTGATACTTTCATAGACAATCAATCACAAAAGACACAAGTTTCTTAGAAAATTATTCCGTCTGTAAAACTTTGTAGAACTCCTTGCGTTGATCATGTTCGTAGAAAAAATTCTAACTTACTCAATCAATGACAGTGCTACGATAAAATCACTCAAAAGCGTCAACTACCGCTCAGTAGCAGTGAGAAATAGTGGAAAGTTTTGAGTATTTTGACTCCAACATCCTCATATGTTAAGTGAATTAGAATCTTGTTTTTGCTAAAATTAACAGTGCAACGAGTTCTACAATATTCTACAGATGAAAAAATTTTCTGAGAAACTTATGCTTTTTGAGATTGATTATCCATGAGTGTATCCATCAAAAAAGCAATTCGCAAGCATTTCGTAGCTGGTAAAAATATAAGAGTGATGAATAAGAATCGTCACAATTATAAAATTGTGCAACATGGGCAATCCACTTTTTCAAGAGGTACTGGCTTCTCATCCAGCCATCGTTCAATAGTCTTCATTTGTATTTTCAAATTATCTTTTTCTTGAGTAAAAACAGTAGGAACTTTCAATTTCACTGTAGTAAATTGATGATCTGGTAACATCATCTCCCGTAATATATCCTTGAATTAATTCAAAACAGAGTCCTTTTTCCCATCGACTAAATCATCTGGACAGTGCTTTAGAATGAGGGTGAGAAAGTACTGGAAAACAGGAAATTCAAAAAATCTTGAAAGACCAATATAGACCACGTATAAAAGAAACAAGACAGGAATGAGAAATTATTGTATTGAAGCATCATTGCAGAAAAGAATGCATGCGAGGGTGGATGTGGTGTGGGTGTTGTTCTTTCTTTTACCCACCCATACTCACACTCATACCCGAACCGATCAAGAATTTGTGTTCTGCATGTTTATCCTGTCAGGATTGAGAATGATTTCATTTCGACGCTTGACAATGTGAGCCATAGAAATATGCTTTACCTGTATTTAGATAGAAAAATAACATTTTAAATCCGCAAGACAGACTTGACAGAGACGTCATTACACTCAAAGTCGAATGGTTTAGTGGGTGTGGGTGAGTGTGAGAGGACAGTAATCGAACACTAACACTTTACCCACACTCACTTACACTCTCAGGTGTATGAATAATGTTGAACGTCATTGCACGTTGAGGAGAGTTACTAAGGGTTAAATAGGTCTAATTATCATACTATACATTCTAATAGGTTCTTGTAACAGTGTGTTGCACTCGAAACAATCGCTTTCATGTCATTTAGCTAACACTTTATGATACTATTAAACATCTACAATGATCCAATCATTTTGTTCACAATTTGAAGTTCGATAATACTGTTTAGACTATGAGTAATGCCCATGGATGTTTGTAACCTTGCTAGTATACGTAAACTACATCATGATAAAAAGTCAGTCTAAGATTTATTTGAACATAGTTCATTTTATGCTTGTGCAAAAAACCATTTTTGAAAATCACCGCCATTACCAACGCTTGGATAAACTTGACCCTCAAAATTAGAATCAAGTACACGTGACGTTGCTAGATTTAGGAGTACAAAAAAGTTGTCTTCATTCCAATATAATCTCCATTTTTGATAGCGGCCACCATTTAAATCATGTGTGTACATCTGATAGCCATTGGAATCAAGTACCAATGAGGTTGCTAAGTTTTGTAATACACAAGAACCATCGTCCTGTCGTTGAAATTGCCATCGTTGATATGTGCCACCATTATATTTAAGAGTATAAATATTTTTTTCTTCATTGGTGTCTAGTACCCTTCCTGTTGCCTTGTTTACTAGAAAACCCACTATTGGATTCATTACATCACAAACCATTCTTGGATTGAATGATGAATCTAATCAGACAATGATCCTATTCACTTTGTATGAAATATGATTGAAAATACTGCATACGGAGATTTCTTGAAAACTAAAAGCTATTTTTTTCTTAAGAATAAAATGTTTAGGTTATCCAAGAAGTGGAACAATAAAACGAATTCCATTAAAATGATTATTTTTGTTCGTTAAATCAAAAACATTTCTTGACTTCACTTAAATTTTAAAAATCGCATTGCTTTCATTATTTCGACTAGCTTTCAATGTTTTCACCATTTTAATGAAATGAATTTGACTCGTTTTGCACGTTTTTTGATTGAAATTAGATCAGTTATTTTTCAAAATAATCAATTAACGGTCTCGCTTTATAAGTAGAAATTTCATTTTTTTAAATTAAAATCTTATCATTTTTTTTCATTTTTTGACTTCCTGGTTATTACCGAATCTATGACTATAATTCGGTGTATTTCGGGTACACCATACAACCAGTTCCATCAAGAAGTGGTGACAATTCGAAGTGGGAAGCATGTCGACCGAAAGAGGGAAGAATGCTAATTTACCAAAGCGCACTGATGACCAGCGGTAACATGAGTGCCGAAAATGATATGCTGACGAAAGGCGTGAATTTTCCAGAGTTTGAAGGATTGTTTCCCGCTAGGGATAGCTCCATCATGGATATACGAGTCTCATAATACTTGAAAAATCTCGATGGTGCAAGAAGAAGAACTGAAAATTGGTCCATAGCAATGACACTCTAAAAGATCTTGCATTAGAAGCTTTCATGTTCTCGAATAAACTGTAGTAGCATCATATTTGTATAAAACTCACTTGATGTGGCTTCTATCGTTGATGATGGTGCTGTTACGGTAACTGTTGGGTCCACCACTAGAATTAAAAAAACAGAACAAGCTTGTAGTGAAACTTGGATATTCTCCCTGGTGATCGTACAAGAAAATTCACAATAATAGCTTGCCAACTCAAGCATTTCTAATACGACGAATCAAAGAGATACTTACTCTCCCAACTGCACTGCTGCTTTACTTGTGACCAAAATAAACCTGCTGGACAATATTTGAGATAGGCGCTGCCGTCAGAGCAATGCCAAAATGTGTGATGATCATCGGGATTTCCAAACATGCCATCACTTATACATGTATACGTTCCATCGATACGTTTTATAAGAGAAATCAAGATACATAGAACCGGTATAATAGGCATTCTCTAGACACTTCTTTTTTTATCAACAAGTGCAAATGAATTAGAAAAAAATATCCTCTTTTTCTTTTGCTTTTTTTCAGTCAAATTATTTCCCAACTTAAGAATAGGTAATTGAATCGTTGCACATTTTACCTTTTCGATGCAGTAATCCTATAAATATTCCATTTATTTTGGCTTTACGATTCTTTCATGTATTGCAGAAAGGACAATAACAAATTGCATATAAGCGAGCAGACATATCGACGTTACACAAACCATTCTCGAGAAGAGCAATACTTTGTTGCTGGAGAAATGAATGCAAAGTAGTCTCTTTGGACGTGTCCCACAACATTGATTTGCACTATACGTGTTAAATAGGAGGAAAATTCGCAGCATCAGTAAAAATTCCCTACAGCGACATGTGTTCCAGTCATTTGCCAGTTTCAGAAATGGAATCGGTTTGGCTTTTACCCGAACCAAACCAATCGACCAGAACCGACACCGACTCAGTTGAGAGTTGTTAAAACTTCGGTCATATACGTTAGGTCTGGTTAGCGATTTCTTCGATTCGTTTTGGTTCGGTTAGGAAAACGATGCAAACCAATCCTATGTCTGGTAAGTTTTTTGTAATTAGGCTGCATTTCGAAAACAGTCTATCAGGTAGCGAAGGCATTTTTATTTTAATAATCCAGAAGGATTCTCCAACGAAACAATGAATCCTGGCTAACCATTCGTTCAAATAATTCGTTGACGAATAGAGGAGTGGTTCCAAAGATTCACTAGATTATCACCATATCTCGTTTCATACATTCGAACTCTGCAGCAAACGTCACTGAATAATACTGTTGATCAGCGAATTTCATTTAAGTACATATAAAAAACAGCAGCGAGAAGAATAATGTCAATAGAAACTCAATACTATGATATGGATAATAATTGAGAATGACTTTTATTCATACTGTTAAATTCAGACGAAAAACATCATTCTCTTATTGTTATTCATCAAGTTTGTTTTTCTTCAAACATTTCCTTAAACTCTGCTCCTTCTGTGTTTGAAAATCACAGTAAAACATGACTTTTGTGGAAAGCCATAGTATTCAATGTATCACGCTCCATTGATTTGCACTCATTCCTACAAACATGAAATAAAATAGCGAGAACCCGTGCATACTGCACGGCTGTTTTCTCCTTTAATGTATGACCTCAGACATTTAACGTTTCATCCGGTAAAATACATACAGACACTCGATATTATGTATATAGATAGGTTACCCTACAACCTCATACTCTCATATCGCACATATTTTTATAGTCCATGGAGCCTTCGGTCTTATCTCCCTATTGCCTTACTCCCTTCAGAGCCTATGCGTATCACAATATAATAGCCCTTGGCGACCTATGGATACCGCTATAGGATAGCCCTTGAGGACCTATGGGTACCGCCATAGGATATTCCTTGAGGACCTGTGGATACCCCCATAGAATAGCCCTTGTGGACCTATGGGTACCCCCATAGGATGGGCCTTGAGGACCTATGGGTACCCCCATTGGATAGCCCTTGGGGGCCTGTGGGTACCCCCATAGAATAGCCCTCGGGGACCTACGGGAACCCCCCTAGGATAGCCCTTGAGGACCTATGGCTACCCCCATAGGATAGCCCTTGAGGACCTATGAGTACGCCCATAGG